TTAATAGGGAAAGTGAGACATGGGTTCTAAAGTGGGATGGTACTACCAGATATAGTATTCTTCGGAGGTATACCTGCTCTGGTCTACCTACGCTATTCTAGGGTTAAGTAACTGGAAAGTGGCCATTTCTGGAATGCCGTGTCTCGATTGAACAATACGGGTCACCTAATAACAAATATAAATATACTCCCTAGATAAAAATACAGAGAAACAAGTAGGGATAGCATCACATAATAGTTGAGTGTGTGATGTCTATTTAAAGAGTTAATCGCTGTGAAATATGATGGAATAGTTGTATGTGATGGTGGATTCGGTTTGGGCAGTGACCAATTTCACAGTTTTAAAGCTCCTGTTTGCCCTCTTGCGAGGAATGTTGATACTGCATTCCGGCAGACTCTCCCCACCCTAAATGCATTAGTCTGTCTGCACCGTAAAGAGCTGAATTGCAATGCACTAAGAATATCTTTACTTTAAAGGGGATAGATCACTTTCCAGGATTTTCAATACTAAGTTTACTTTCTTCTGTTTTTAACAAATATGTATTTGTAAGGTATAAAAAAAAAAATGTAGAAATCCACCTCTTTTTTTCTTTCAATTCTTTATTTTTGTTGTGCATTGCAAGTCTGTAATACCGAAAGTCACCAGGGACTGGTAGATATACATTACACAGTACTGGCAAAAGGTTATTTGGCTGCTATATGGAAACAGAGAGTGTGGATTCTACTTATTTTCAATAAAGCTGTTTTTAATTTGGGAAGCTGGTGTCCTGCCTATTTACACCAACATTGAAGTCCTGGTTTTTGGATTCAAAGCTGGATCAGTTTGAGCAGCCTTTTACTGCTCTTCACTTGTGAGTGATATTCCTAATTCTACTTGCTGGTCTTTATATTTATGTAAACAATATTATACTATGTTTCTCCATTTTTTATCTCTTTTTACATATGTTCTTATGTGATTTGGAGAATTTAAGGAGACATATATTTCCCTTGTAAGTTATTTGTCTTGGATATTGATTTTTACACTATCACATTTGCATTTTGCACTTATGTCGCATTGAATGTGATTGTATACACACTCTGTGTTTTTGCACAAAATATTTGCACATATTATTGCACTATTTGCACTTTTTAACATTTAAAGATACAGCGCACCTATTTTTATTTTTTGTGCATTGCAAGTAACACAGAGAAGCATAGACATTGCAAATATAAGCATTAATGAGTGTCGATAAGAGGTCGCAATATTTGTATGAAACTCTGCACAAGTTTTGGATTCCTCTTGGTCGCAAAGTGACTTTGATTGCTGAGGAACTGCAATAGTGGACCACAAGCCATCAAATAAAAGTATTATTTTGAGTTTCCCAGCGGAGTTCTCATGAAGTGCGACCTTTTGGCGCCGTGGTCAAGCTCCGCCCCCGAAATTCACCTCTGTCCTTTGCACCTGGCAGTCAGCATAGAGAAAGCACACAGAGAAGGGGAGAAATTGAACAATATTTAGATGTCGCCTCATAATTTAAAATGTTTGTCCTTGCTTTGCCTTATCTGAACTTTAATCTATCTTTAATATAGGTTTAACAGAAAACAGATCATATCATGACTAAAACATTACCACAAGCTACAATTTATTTTCAGTGTTTTATTTAATGATTTAAAGAGAAGTGACAACAGACATCCCAACATGCAAAAACAAATTTCCGGGAGGTGGCTTCTCCGGCAACTGCATTCACCTTTTCCCCCTCCTCGCCCCTGCGCACCCACACCCACCCCCCTAACTATTTAACAACATATTACAACTGGATAATCTGTAAGGGGCATTTATTGAGGGCATTTGTCATTTATAATATCCCAGAAATCACACACATGCAATCTGGCATACATTGTATGTCAGACTGTGTGTGCTTTCCAAATATGATATATGATTTGCAGGTGTCAGGGAGCTGCCCTAATCCGCCTCCTTGCTGACGTAATCAGAATTTATTATTTTGGCCAATCGGAATGGGTGAAATTGGCAAGGAGGCAGGGCAAGGCCAATCAGCACCTCCCTATAGAGATGCTTCAAATCAATGCATCTCTTTGAACAAAGTTCAGCATCTCCATGCAGAGCGTGGAGGCGCTGTATGGCAGTTCGGCACACTGCAGCACTGGCCCAGGAAGCACCTCCAGTGGCCATCTGAGGAGTGGCCACTGAATGTGTCCCTAGGAGGCGATGTGAACACTGCCTTTTCTATGAAATATTACAGGGAATGATTATACTCATCAGAACAACTACATTATGCTGTAGTTGTTCTGGTGACTATAGTGTCGCTTTAATATTTAAACACCCATCTTTATAAGTTTGAAATGTATTCAATAGTAAATTTGTAAAGGAAAGTAATTTGTGATTTAGTTTTTTTAGACACTGTGCTATCTAAGAAAAAGTGAGAAAATACCTAGCTAATCTTTACATTGTAATTTTTTTGTTACCTTTAATGCCTTTTGGGGCTTGATGGGCAGCTGTAAAGGCACTCAACAAGCAGCATAACCATTACAGTGGTTATGGTGCCAGTACTGCGTGACCTCTCCCAAGTTAGGGAATCAAACCTGTAACGGATCACCTGGCACCCCAACTGGGTACCTCCGTTAAAAGATGCTCCTAGTGCTTCCTGGGGACTCCAAGCACTGCAGCAGACACCACAATATGAATACCGGAGAAGCAAATGAATCCTCTCAAGCATATGAAGAATGTTACACATGAATATAACCATACGAATACTGTTTGCTCTCCTAGCAGTCAAACTGGAACAGCACCAATGAATCCAGAGAAACATAATGAGACGACACTTCACTTTGAGGGTTAAACAGGAACTCCGGTGCTGGCACACCCAGCCTGGTTTTTATTACAGTCTTGCAAATACAGGACCGCCCACAGGGAGGTATAAAACAACCAATCACATCACAGTTACATCCCACATATTCCCTCCCTTTATCCTGAGAGGAAACTCAATTATACATACAGTTAAAACATACTTTCTACCCAACTTTCATAACTCCAAAACCATACATCACATTCACATAAAATTACATATTCACAATCAATCCATTCAGGGAAACAACTTTTTAAAAAATTAACCTGCAGACCAGGGGTTCAAAAGTTAAGAGAAAGTCCTTGGTGGCTAAATGAAGCATGGCTTTCTGGCCCAAACTAGTTTCAGAGTCTTCTATCCTGGAGAGTAATTCAATTATCTCCCAGGATAGACACAAGACTCCATTAAGCACATGGTTGCAAAAAGACACAAAACATTTTAAAATACATAAAGTCACATTTACACATAACACACAGACATTTCACATATCCCCAGATAGCTGGGATGTGAGTGCACATTATTAGATGTGTGGCACTCAGATCACACAAATAAGCCTTTCTGCAGGGGAAATAAACAGTTTAACCTGCAGGGCTATAGTCCAAAGGGAGCAGGCGAGCAACCAGGCTTCTCCAGTTCACAGTGGCGAGGTTGGTTTCGCCACCTTCTCCCCTTTACCTCTAGACTAACAGGGTATCTGACCTCCCGCCGGTCAGTGCCCTGGTTAGTCCAGCAACCCACCCACAAAACAGAAACAGCAGTACAGCCCACCCACAATAACTGGTTACTACACTTGGGTAGAGGAGAACTTTGTCCATGTCCAGGTGCCTCACCACGACTGTGTGGGCAACTGTTAGGCTGCCTTGGTGGGTTGCTGAGTGGGCAGAGACCAGCGGTACTCTGCCCTGATGCCAGTGCTACCACGGAAGTAGCCTGGTGGGAGCCTGTTGTGGGAGGGAGAGACCAACTGTCTCCCCTCTGGATACACCGCTCTGTGGCTGGGGAACAGGACCGACTGTCCCTACTCCTTGTGCTGTAAGTGCAGAGACATCTGCACTGTTGGGGGGTGTAACATCTCCCCTTGCTGGGTTAGGCTGCCGCTGGAGAGAGGGTGTAACAAGCTCCTCTCTCTGAACTGTAAACAAGGGGAGAGGGGGTATCAGGCTCCTCACACCAGCTGTCTCCCCTTTCATTATTTTGTCCTGTGGTTGGGGTGGGAGACTGACGGTCTCTGCTCCCTGCAGGACACTCTATACTTACTCCCTGTCTCACACACTGCGCTGGGGAGCGACGGCACCTTCAGCTCCCTGTGCTTCACTGCCGCTTACATCAGCAGAGACCAATTGGCCACTGAGGTCAATCTCCGCAATCGGCACAGACATTCCCCTTGCCCTCGATTCTCCGCATCCAAGCTTGAGCACGGTCTGCCATCAAGCTTTTGAAGAGTAGGCCAATCTGGATAGCTCTTGACTCATTGGGTATGAAATTCCTCACAGCAATGTGTCAGTTTGCTGATGACAGTGCACTTTACGAATATTAGCGTTGTCACCAGAATAACTACAGCGAATGTAGTCTTGTGGTGCTTTATGCACAAGGACGTCATGCAACACTGCCACCAAGAAAAGTGAACCAGACTGGGTTTTTCGTGAAATTCATGCGACTTCAAGGACTCCAAATTTAAGGTCAGAGGAGCTGAACTGAAAACTCATCTGCCTTAGAGCATGTTTCCAGTTCGGATATTTTGACATGAAATGTGAAATTCACTTTGACTTCATCAATTCTCCCTTTAGTCAATAACCCTGAGAGTTCTGCTTGCTGGAGTGCGTAATCACAACTATAGGGATTGCTCTGTACAGTGGCATACACACAACCCATGGGGCTTACTCTGCGCGGGCTGGGGCCGCAACACATGGCGGCGGGCACCTGGTCGCAGGGCTGCGACCCCTGCGACCGCGGTATGTACGCCAGTGCATGCAAATACACATACACTTAAAGGACCACTACAGACACCCAGATCACATCAGTTCAATGAAGTGGTCTGGGTGCCAGGTCCCTCTAGTTGTAACCCTGCAGCTGAAAACATAGCAGTTTCAGAGCAACTGCTATGTTTCACTGAGGGTTAATCCAGCCTCTAGTGGCTGTCTCATTGACAGCCGCTAGAGGAGCTTCAGCGATTCTCACTGTGAAAATCACAGTGAGAAGACGCTGAACATCCATAGGAAAGCAGTGAGTAATGCTTTCCTATGGACGGTTTGAATGCGCGCGCGGCACTTGCCATGCATGCCCATTTGGAGCGGAGAGGCAGATCGGGGCGGAGACATCCCCAGCGCCAAGGGAGTCCAGCGCGGGAGAAAGGTAAGTGCTTAAGACACACACACACTCTCACGAACAGACGCATACACACTAGCTAACAGACACACACACACACACACTCTTACGAACAGACGCATACACACTAGCTAACAGACACACACATTTACTGACAGACACACACTCAGTGACAGACATACATATACACTCACTGACAGACAGACACATACACACTCACAAAACACACTCACTAACAGACGCACACAAACTAACACACTCAGTAACAGACACACACAGTAACACACTCTAACACTCACACTCTAACACACACACACACACTAACACACACACACACACACGTTTTAAAAAAAAAAATTATTTCCCCAGCCTCCTTACCTTAGGGAGAGCTGAGGGGATTCCCTGGGGTCCAGTGGTGCTACCGGGCAGGCGGGCGTGCCGTGTACTGATGCTGGAGCCGGAAGATGACGTCATATTCCAGCTCCGGCATCAGTGCGGTGCGTCCCGGTATGTACGCCACTGGCTCTGTAGTTGCTGTGATGCAGAGAATTTGGATATACCATCTTCATACTGCGGAACAAGGAACCTGGTGGCAGCAGTATTGGGTCACAGAGCCCGAACTTCAGAGTTAAATTGTAGTAAAACAGTTTAAAGCCTCAAGGTAAGACAGTCCCTGGACACTCCTTCTCAATAGGATTGTGATTTAAAGGGACACTATAGACACCCAGACCAATTCACCTTATTGAAGTGCGCTTGTCCTGTTAACCCTGCAGATGAAAACATAGCATTTTTAGAGAACAGTCACTAGAGGCATTTCTTGCTGTTTCACAAAGTTTAACTACCAGCATATTCAGTTAATTGGTAGTGAAAATGGTCTTTTTCTAAATTGTTTTTACTGATAAATAGTGCTATTATTCACCAAAGCTTCCTATTTTTCAAAATGGGAAACTTTGAAATTTTCATGCAGTATTTTTATATAATAGCTAATGCTTATTTTTAGAAATAGAGACAGCAGATAAGGAGAAATGTGTCCATTCATACTGTCTTTTAAGAAACTTCTGACTCATTTTATTTATTTGTTTTCTTCAGGATAACTTTCTAAACCCTGTAAGCTCGTTTGAGCAGGGTCCTCTTTTGTTCCTGTAAGTTTTCTTATAATTGTCCTATTTATAGGACCTCTCATAATATTGTAAAGCACTACAGAATCTGTTGATGCTATATAAATGGCAATAATAATAATAAACAAATTCACAACAGGATCACTTTAAACTATAACCTCTCCTTAAAGGGACACTGTAGGCACCCAGACCACTTCAGCTCATTGAAGAATCCGGACACAATGTCCAATGTACCGTAGCCCTACAGTGGTAATTATTATAGTTTCTGAGAAACTGCAATAATTACATCTGAGGGTTAACTCCTCCTCTAATGGCTGTCTACCAAACTGCGACTAGAAGGACTTCTAGAATTCAAATGGACCTTTAGTCCATTATCTGACGCTGGACATCCTCGAGCAAGGTCCCCCGCCAGCTGGTGAGGGGCGTAGGTGGAGCCTGAACCAGCGCAGAGGGACATCAGGGGGTTTTAACCCCTTAAGCCATGCAGGAGGGGGGCGCGATGGAGGGTGGACCACAGGATTCTACAGTGCCAGGAAAATGGCTTGTTTTCCTGGCCCAATATAATCCCTTTAGATGATGAATGGATTATTTATCAGAGTGATACATTTAATTAATGTGGTGACTTTGCCCCTGGGGGTTTGGTTGCTACGGGGTGGAGGCGAATGTGAGTTATACTTACTGGAACCTGTCTCTTGTGGCCACTGCCATGCTCTTCTTACCGATCCTCTTCAGCTCCTGGTGCTTCAGCTGCCCCAAGCTTACATCAGCATTAGACTCTCGCACATGCGTGAGAGTACAATACTGAGGTCTATAAGGTCATCCCGCAAGATCCCCCACAGACAAATACTTTTTCCCCTTGGCCCTCACTAGTGATGGCTGGGGGCTTGATAAAGCTTGAGAAAACGTAGGTCTGTCTGTTCATCAAGCTTTTGAGGTGTAGGAAAAATACTCCGATAGCTCTTGACTGCATTGGAATGTTAGTGAAATTCCAACACAGTCGATGTGTCAGTTTGGAGGCAGGAGATGACAGTGCCACTTTAAAGAAAATATTAAAGGAACGGTATACTCACCAGAATAACTACAGCGTAATGTAGTTGTTGTGGTGAGTATAGTATTTCACTGCAGGCATTGTCATGCAAACACTGCCTTTTCAGAGAAAAGTGAATCAGACAGGGTTTTTCAGTGAGAATTCATGTTGACTTCAAAGTGAACTTCAAATTTAAGGTCAGAGGAGCTGAACTGAAAACTCATCTGCCTTAGAGCATGTTTCCAGTTCGGATATTTTGACATGAAATGTGAAATTCACTTTGACTTCATCTTGAATTCTCCCTTTAGTCAATAACCCTGAGAGTTCTGCTTGCTGGAGTGCGTAATCACAACTATAGGGATTGCTCTGTACAGTGGCATACACACAACCCATGGGGCTTACTCTGCGCGGGCTGGGGCCGCAACACATGGCGGCGGGCACCTGGTCGCAGGGCTGCGACCCCTGCGACCGCGGTATGTACGCCAGTGCATGCAAATACACATACACTTAAAGGACCACTACAGACACCCAGATCACATCAGTTCAATGAAGTGGTCTGGGTGCCAGGTCCCTCTAGTTGTAACCCTGCAGCTGAAAACATAGCAGTTTCAGAGCAACTGCTATGTTTCACTGAGGGTTAATCCAGCCTCTAGTGGCTGTCTCATTGACAGCCGCTAGAGGAGCTTCAGCGATTCTCACTGTGAAAATCACAGTGAGAAGACGCTGAACATCCATAGGAAAGCAGTGAGTAATGCTTTCCTATGGACGGTTTGAATGCGAGCGCGGCACTTGCCACGCATGCCCATTTGGAGCGGAGAGGCAGATCGGGGCGGAGACATCCCCAGCGCCAAGGGAGTCCAGCGCGGGAGAAAGGTAAGTGCTTAAGACACACACACACACTCTCACGAACAGACGCATACACACTAGCTAACAGACACACACACACACACTCTTACGAACAGACGCATACACACTAGCTAACAGACACACACATTTACTGACAGACACACACTCAGTGACAGACATACATATACACTCACTGACAGACAGACACATACACACTCACAAAACACACTCACTAACAGACGCACACAAACTAACACACTCAGTAACAGACACACACAGTAACACACTCTCTGACACACTCTAACACTCACACTAACACTCTAACACACACACACACTAACACACACACACACACGTTTTAAAAAAAAAATTTATTTCCCCAGCCTCCTTACCTTAGGGAGAGCTGAGGGGATTCCCTGGGGTCCAGTGGTGTTACCGGGCAGGCGGGCGTGCCGTGTACTGATGCTGGAGCCGGAAGATGACGTCATATTCCAGCTCCGGCATCAGTGCGGTGCGACCCGGTATGTACGCCACTGGCTCTGTAGTTGCTGTGATGCAGAGAAAGAGAACTACCTGTAGGAGTGTTCTCCTACTCACTCTGTAGTGCACTCTCCTTTATCATCAAAGTCTATGATGTTGGCACTGCCTTTGATGATGAGAATTCATTGACAAGTATTTGAAAAAAAAAAATCTTCTAATTTATATCTGTTAGCAGAATGTATAGATGGAATTTAATGTAGGTTTTGTTTTTTTCTTCACTTGCGGGAACCAAGAAAAGAAATGTGCTTTGCTGATTATCTCAAGGCATCTCTTCTCCAAAGACAGATTTACATTCAGACAGAATGCTGGACTGCTAGTCACTTGGCATTCTAGGTTTGTCAGAGAGTAAACTGCAAAGGTTCAACTGCCAACTTTGGCCATAAACGTGGCATGGAAAGAACTGTTGAGAAATGTTTCCAAGCAAAGGCATCACAATAAACGAAGGGCTATTTTTATTCCTTTCGAAGCTGCCCCATTCCTTGGTTTCAGTACATTAACATTAGTGGTGTGTTTGAAAAAGATCCGAACTTCAGAAAACATCTTTAGACGGAAAAAAACTAATGATAGAACTTAAGGAACTATTAGGATTTTCTCAAAATGTATATAATAGTAAAACTGGTATTTAACCCCTAAATGACAAATCACAGGATCATTCCTTCACAACAGTCTAGTCTTTAGAAGGAAAGAGTCACTTTTTGTTCCATAGTGGTAGTTTCTCTTTAAATTTTCCCAGTAAATGTTATTGGAGTGTTTACGGGGCTGAGGAGTTCAGTTTAGGTTAGTGCCTCAACTGTGTCTCTTTCCATGCTGTGTCCAGTGCACCTTCTTGGATATTGCAATAAAAGTGTATTTGTGTATTCCATGCTCACACAATTTAATGGATATCACTACAACTTGCAATCAGTGGCAGACTGTGCCTTTATAGCCTTGATAGAATTGAAAAATGTTTGCTGCTTTTTAAAATAAAAACAGAGAATATGAGAATTCATATATGTAATGGAAAAAGTGAGCAAAAACGATATGAGACCTTAGTGGAGATTTACTGCTCTAGAGTTTCTCTAAGAGTTTGTCTCAGAGTTCTTATATTCTCTGTTTTTGTTGCAATGCATTAGCTTGGTCTCTCCCTAACTTAAAAGGGTAATCCATACTGTACAGAATGCTGTAATCCTTGATATACAAACCGTGCACTAACCCACTTTTTTATATTTCTATAAAATTGTTACTTTATGAAAAACGCAAAAACAAAGAATTCTTAAAAAAAAAAAAGGGGGGGTAATCCAGACGTGAGTCCTGGGTTTGTTGTTCCTAGAGGGGTTTCAGCTACACCTCGCTGACAAGACCCAAAGACGGCCGTAACAACCGTCCCTGGTTGCTGTATCTTTAGGGCAGAGAGAGCTTGCCGGCATTTCAGATGTGGACTGCCCTTATGCGTGGGATTAGTCTGACATGGAAATGGTATAGGTTCACTGTGTAATGGAACAAATGAGCAAAAACGTTCGTCCATTTTCATATTCTCTGTGGGATTTTTTTCTTTTTAAAAT